ACGAGGCTAATTTTCTGCACAATCTACTGAATCGAAGTTTGGGAGCTCATCATCGATGACAGAAAAACAATTAAAATCAGAAAATGGTACACAATTTTTTTTATAGTATTTGAATTTTGAAATTTGATCTATACCCTATGTCAATTTCATAAAAGAAGATGCTTTTAGGATTCGGAACTGTACAATCCATAATTTAATGTAGTTCTTCTCTTATTTCTTATTTGTAACTAATTTGAATTCTAAGTCGTGCGATAGGCTATAATTCGTGAATTGAACCAAGAGTCATCGTATAAAATTTATGAATTATAAATTCTATAAAATCCAAATGTTGATTCACTTTATCGTCATAAAAGATTATAAAATATGCATAAATATATACACAAGTAAGTGTTTGTTAAACCAACATAAGCATAATTAATGAAACTTTGTCTACTTATATGGCTGCTAATGTACATCCACACACGAACACTTTCTAGAACATCCTTTTTGTTAATGCTACTTTGCACTAATACTATCTAGATATATATGAAGGAATATGCAACGAAACAAAGCGTTCTGGAAGTTAAAAAAACTTCTGGAAACAAGTTTTTTTTCTTCATTTTAATAACAAAATTTTAGGGTGTATTTAGATAAATTAATAGCAGGAGATTAAAAGACTTTCGATTATTTACACTTGATAACTGATAGAACACTCCAAATTTTGTGTCACAGGTGTTAGTGTCCTTTTTGAATATGCAATCAAGGTTGCATTATTCAAGAATGTATTCTTTAAGAATTCATTCTTCAAGAATGTATTATTCAAATCGACAAAACAAAAGTAAAGGATTGAGTTCGATCAGGAGAAACATAATAAGAGGTTGCTGAGATGGATTTTTTTTTATTCTTTTTTGTTATTGTATTGTGTTAGAATATACATACTATGCGTCTATTATTTGTAAGAATATGTATGAATTTTTATTAAGTTTGGATATTTATGAACATATATAATGTAGTTATTCTTTAGATAATGGTAAAAACCTTGTTATTCTTCAAGATGTTAATTCTGTCAGAATATATATTCTATCAAAATATATTTTTATCATAATTCACATTGTACTCATAAAAATATTCTTTTGGAATGACCAAATTAAAAAAATTATTTTTCCTTAAAATTAGATTTTAAAAATTAAAAGAATAAGTTATCCTTCAAATATGGATTTTCCATTTTTAAGATGAAGTTTGAGATTATTTTTTTGCTTCAAAAGTCATTTTTGTAAAAATACTTTTTACAAAAGTTGTTTTTTAAAATGTGTCTGGATTATCTTTTGAGGGGCAAAAGTCAAAAGTTGTTTTTAAAAATGTTTCGTTTAACTTTTACATATAAAATGACTAAAAAGGACATGCTTACATATTACAATGATTTACTACTTTACATATATTATTTTATACTTAACAATTTTTTTAAGCACATATTATAATTTTGTAAACATTTTATTAGAAAATATAAATTATAAATTTCTTTTAAAATATTTCTAATTTTTTGGATTAGACCACGATAATATTAAAATTACGTTCATACAAATTGTAAATAATTCATAAAAAATATCATAGATATTAATATTACATTCATCTTCGCAATGTGATTATATCTTGTGCAATAATATATCGTATCGCTACCATATACAAATCATCATCACTCGTGCGACGTGTACTTGGACCTTCTTCGTAAACTTCACTACTAGTACCACCTCGTACGGGATTGTAGGATTCTTGTTGTGCCATATTAAACGCTTCATCAAACCTACCAAGCTTTCTAATGTAGTTATGGATCGCCATCGATGCTATCACAATTCTCACTTGGTTCTTGTACTTGTAATTAACATGCATGTCTCTTAATAACGCCCACCTAGCTTTCCACACTCCAAAAGTTCGTTCAATGATATTTCGCAATGATGAGTGGAGATGGTTAAATTTCTCTTTCGTTCCACGAGGTTCACGAATAGCAGCCGTGTGTCCACATCGAAAATATGGTAAATGATAACGAATATTTGTCCCTTTGTATTGAGCAAGATACCCTCTGGTATTTGGATACCCGACATCAACAACGTAATATTTATCTGTAAATAAAACAAACATTTATTATTCGTTTCAAACAAGTAGTAAAAACATAAAACTTGTGTTCCGAAAAAAAAATAATAATAACCACCCGTTGGATATGGAAAATTAATATCCGGTCTCTATAAGGCTTCATTGAAAATTCTTGTGTCATGTGCAGTGCCCTCCCAATCGTCCTAAACAAATGTAAAACACATGTTAAAATCACAAACAACCATTATATTTTGTGTTGCATATCCCTTTCGACCAATGTACTTCGCTTCCTCTTTTTGTGTTGCATATCCCTTTCGACCAATGTACTTCGCTCCCTTTCGAAAATGGCCATGCAATCTACTATTGTTGGGGAAGGATTATTTTGTGGATAAGTTTGTGTGCTTTTTGTTGATATGGCATCCAATAAAGCATCTGCTTTTTCTTCATAAATTGAACTTTTACTCTCGGTTGAACGAATGTTGGAAACAAGCTTAGACCTCTTCCTTTTACTTGAACTACTTTCATGGAAACTAGGAAAAAGAGGCTCATCATCATCTAAATTGATTTCATCACTATCTCCTTTGCCCTCCATATTTTCTTCGTTTGGATTGCTATTGTTTTGAAATTGTAATGGAGTCATAGTCTGATCTCCAGTGGCAACGGAATCCCGAAACAAAATAGCATATTTCTCATCAAATATGCTCAAATCTGTGTTCCTAAATTTGGCATAATCTTTATTCTCCTGCAAGACAAAACGATAATGTAAATCAAATATGCTCAATCTATATGCAATCATAACTTAAAATAATTAAAAAGAATAGTAAATCATACCTTTATTTTCTCCTCCCACCACTCAGGCGATGCATCTATTAGGCTTGTCGTCCCACCGAGTCCGGTTTCAAGCCTCATTAAGCGGTCATAAAGCTTCCACTCTATTTTCACGTTCTCCCATTTGTTTGTTAGTTGTTTTTTTTTCAAGGCTGTAACTTGTTTTGTCCTTCATGTGTTTTTGTATATTCTCCCACCCAACTTTATCAAAGTGAGTACCGGGTTTATGGCCTTTTCTTAGTTCAATCAAGCACGAATCAACAAACACCGTGAAGCTACGATTATCCCACCCAAATTTTGGTTTTCTCATTTTTAAAGATGTTTCACAATCAACAAGAGTAGTGTGGTTTTCGTCCATTATCTGTGAATTACATAGTATCAACATTTAAACAACAAACCAATTTCATTAACCTTCCTAGATGATTTCATCAATTTAAAAAATTTCTAATCAATCTTTCATAAGATTCATGAACTATAGTTAATCAAAACAGAAAAAATAGAACAACAATGGATGAAAACAACACAAATCAGAAGAAACAAATTGGAATAATTTCACAAATGGGTACTTGTTAACACAAATCGGTCCCTGTGAACAATCCATACACTCTCAAAGGTATGATAATCAATATTTCAGAACATCACATGTATCATAATCGAAGGAACAAATCACATACAGTGCAAGGAAAATCGAAAATCGACATTTTCTTTGCTAATGAAAGTCGAAAATCGACACAAACGAAAACCAAATCAGAGGTCAAACTTACCTGATCGGAGACCGAGGAAGGAGACGCCGACAATAGTGTTGATTGGAGGAAGATCACCGATGGCTTGGTGAACGATCGATCAGTGAATGAGAGATGAGAAGAACGAGGATGAGCGGAGAGAACGAGAACGAGAGTAATGAACATATGTGTCTGAATTAATTAGGGTAGTTGTGAGGGTATAAAAGTAATTTAGGTTTTTAGTGGTTCAAAAGTTTCAAAAAGTTATGTTTACCTGATTTCTCAAAACACTCATTTTCCTTCTATCTAAAAAGTTCATTTTAAAAGTTCTTTTCCCTTTACCAAACATCTTTTTTTTAAACTTTTAGGAAAAGATAAAAGTTAAAAGTTGTTTTAAAAGATAAAACAAACACCCTCTAAATCTAGCTTAATTGACTAAAATACCCTTACAATGATATTAGTGTTATTATATAGTATATGCCCACCCATTGTAATACAATACACCCTAAATCACATCAATTTATTCTTTTTCATCTATTGGTCTAGAATCGTATCTCCGAAACAACACGAGTCATGTGCAGTCGCACACTCCGAACATGCCTAGGTCGGCCCTGATCATAGAATGATTATGTATTTTGTTAGATAACTTCTACTAAGATCCTAAACAATTTTATGAATAAATAGTTACTTCATTTTATAAAATATCATGATACCATTTTGGTATTTTAGTGATCAACAACATACCCATATTCTTCATCTCTCTTTAAATCATGACATTGGACAACTTTGAGCTTCAATCTTCCATCTTCTCTACAAGCATACAAAATTTCCTGTCCCGGAATCACAACCTCCTTCAAAATGAACCTTCCATCTTGCCGGAGAGCTTCCAGCCACACTCACGGCTTCCCACTCCTCCCTATCGAAGAAATAGGCGGCGGCAATTCTGCTCCGGTGACCCTCGACCTTCTCCTGCTACCACATACCACCGCCGAAGACACCACACTCCTCGTTTTCATCTTCCATTCTTCCCTAACATACCTTTCGTCCTTCAATTCTTCCACCTCATCGAAGCTCATAAAACCTAGCTCTTCATTACACATCGTTGAACTCTCTGAACTCATGGAAGAAAGACTACTCTTAGTCTTATGTCGATGATGTTTTTCTAGGGTTTTAGTGGATAAAAGAGAGATGTGGTGAATCTTTCTTTCTGGGATGATGTTGATATATAGTCAAGTAGTTCGTAAATCGTAAGGTAGGAAAGTGTAAATTATGCTATTAAATAGGAATCAATCAAAACGTGGCTACGACTTTATCTCTTTTGAAATTGAAAACACGATAAATTTATCAGAAATTGTTTCGAACAACAAGTGAATTCGTTATTAACACCAAAAAAAAAGAAAGATTTTTACTTGATTATTTAGTAAATTCACAACAACTCCCAAAAGAAATCTATAAAGAAACAAGAAAGTTTCAAAAAAATCACATATTCAAAACAAAAAATCACAATAATACGACCCATCTTCCTCGATCAACGTCGTGCTTCAAGTTTCTCTGATTGAGTGTTTTTGGAATTTAGATTGTTGACTAGAGGTTGGTTTTTGTCTGGATAACTTGACTGACCCGGTTTGCATTCATGGGTAGATTCTTCAATGGCGGTTTTCAATGGCGGACCTTGTGGCGGAGCACGAGGCGGTTCCACCGCCGGCTGTTCTCTTTCCCGGAGTGTTCTAGTGATGAGTGTTTTGAGAAAATTCATTACTTGAACTGCATACATCAATGCAGTCAACGGGTCAATCATCTGGGTCATATTCGGGGCGAAAACCATCGCAATGTTATGTGCATTCATCTTGTTGATATGTTCATGTTGAACAACATCCGCCATCAAGTTAATGGCCCAATCGAGCAGAGCGGTTTCCGTTGGCGGCAAACGGCGGAGAAGGGTGGCGCAGTCTTCCTCCGATTGACATTGCATTACCTGCTCCGGCGAAAGCGGATCCAAAACCCCAGTCGGCAATTCTCTGAACCACGCCTGTAAATCATCAAATCAAGTTAATTTCCATCGTTTATACGAAATCAATCAAATTATGTTCTTGAAAAGATTAATCAAATTGGAAAACGTACTTTAATAAGACCAGCCAAACAGTGAACATCGACGCCTTCTGGAATTACGCCACTGTTCAATTGATTTCTCAAATGTTCTTCTTGCCCGTTTTCCGGATTGATTCTAAAAATACCTTCCGCCTGCATAATTTGTGTTTATATTTCCATGAATTCGTATCTTTTTGAAAGAAAATAATCGAAGATTTACAGACCTTCAAGCCACCTTGACTGTATAAACGTTCCTGCATAAGTATGAGTATCGTCGGAATACTGTTTCCTCTTGAATCGTATGATAACTGCATCGATTCCGTTGAAACGCCAAACACAGTCGCACTGCAAATCGAAAGAAAATACATTCAATTACCGAAATTCGAATCAAGAACACGAAACCCATCAAGAAAACACCATCGATTTGGATATGAAAACGACGAAATGTACCTCGCACTAGGAGCTCTTCGGGGAACTTCAGGTTCGAATTCAACAGGCAAACCCAGGAAGCCATTAAACCTGTCAAACGTAACATGCGCGACGTGGCGCACATCGGTGGGCCACCCAATCTCCATACCGGAAAGATCCAGCTTTTCTTCCGCCACCGTGTTCTTGTTGTTAGAAGCAGGCCAGAAAGATTTCCGGAACAGAGTCAACAAGAGTGCCAATAAGTTCAAATGTCGATTATGTCTCTCTCTACTGTTCTTCACATCTTCATCTTCTTCCTGAGAATCTGTAACCCCAGAATTCGAAACCCCTTCTCCTGATTCTTCTTCCGGTTCTTGATTTACAGAGTGATACAATGTGGTTTCAAGGGTTTGTAAGGAGGAGGAGGAAGACGAAGATGGTGAGTGGAGAACCTCTGTCATGGCTGTAAAAAACAAGAAATGGGGATTTTGTATGTTTGGTTTTGCGCTGATTCTTTAGTAAAATAATATTGTTTGAGATTCGATTTGAGGGTTACAGAGATGGAAATTATATAAAAATGGCGTGTCGCTGTGTGGATGGCAGGTTAAGATGAAAAGCTACATATGGAGGAAATGGGTAAGAGTTAAAGGAGGAAGAAGAAGGAGGACGTGAGTGACATGAAGTTGGATTTATTGTTTAATCGAAGACGAAAACAGTAGTTGATTTTTGTGGGGGGTGGGTGGGAAGCGAGCGAGAGAATAGGATTTTGTTTGTTTATATTTTGATAACTGTTTTTTTGTTCATTTATTAAAGAAAGTGAAATGAGTGGTTGAATATACATGTGGATTTGTATATTCGTGATAATTCAATTAAATAAGTAAAAACAGTTGATTAAAAACGAAGATTTTTATGTTATTGTATAGCATAAGTCTATAAGATTAATGTATGAATGATCGTATATCAAGTTAAAAAACATGAAAAAAGAGTGACATTTGGCAAAAAGTTTGAAAGAATTGAGAGTTAATTTTGACGTTTTACCTTTAAGGTTTTTTTTATAACTTGACTTTTTATTTATTTATTTATTCATTTATTTGATAAATTTAAAATTTGATAAATAATGGACCCACCTTACACCTTACAAGTAGTGTATAGGTCTCACTTTATCTATCTACACCAAAACTCCTATCATCACCACTATCCATCTAAAACTCGTTTAGGCCACGTAGTATGATCACTACTATCCATCTAAAACTCGTTTACAACTGGTCTATGACACAACAACGTGCTAGAATAAGATTAATGTAGGAATGATCGTAGATCAAGTTAAAAAACATGAAAAAAGAGTGACATTTGGCAAAAAGTTTGAAAGAATTGAGAGTTAATTTTGACATTTTACCTTTAAGGTTTTTTTTTATAACTTGACTTTTTATTTATTTATTTATTCATTTATTTGATAAATTTAAAATTTGATAAATAATGGACCCACCTTACACCTTACAAGTAGTGTATAGGTCCCACTTTATCTATCTACACCAAAACTCCTATCATCACCACTATCCATCTAAAACTCGTTTAGGCCACGTAGTATGATCACTACTATCCATCTAAAACTCGTTTACAACTGGTCTATGACACAACAACGTGCTAGAATACAATATAGCATACATAACAACCTCCATTACCTTTGGTACATATGCAAAGAGTTATCACATAACAAAAGTTCACATATCATGATTGGCGTCATCTATTAGACCTTGAACATAATGTTCTTAACCCAAAAGATATCAACTAACAACTAGCTATGGTAAACAACCATAGAAACAATCGTGGAAAAACAAGTTTCATATATTTAATGAAAATGTTGTGGAAAAGAGCAAATATGGGGTTTCAATGATTTGTATTATAAGAACAACTGTTATTGAATTCTTACAAAGGTACAAAACTCAAAATAACAAAGCAACGAAGAATAACTAACTTGAAAGATTAATCCTATCTACCCATTTTTAAAATTAAAAAACATGACATACTATCAGGACAATGATACATTAATGTCACCGATGATCAAATACATTGGCCTACTACAAAAAATATTAAGTCATATATAGTTGTTAGTTGTAAAGACACAACAACACTCAACGATGCACGTCAACTTTGAACAACTTCTTCAAAGATCCTGACTTAGTATTTATTTTTTGTTGTTAGTAAACTACAAATTCACTTTTCTTGATCTAAACTATGTGCTTAGAAAGCTTCTTGAATTCTTCCAACAATATTCAATACATATGACAGGATCGATTTAAGGTCCTATAAACAATGACAAGTGATTTACGGAAAATAAAGTGATAATAGTTTTGCTCACAATAAACAATGACATGGGTATAAACTGTGTAAACAATAATAAGCATTTAACTGGAAGATGAAGGATATCATATATTTCATGTGATACTTGGGTGTCTTAAAACAAGTTTACATCGAGCCTTTTTATAAGCAAACAAGGTATGATATGTCACACCACCTTTCTAAGCATATGCTGCAAAGTATGGACTAAACGGTGTAAAAGGTATAGGTACAAACACCCTTTTACCTAACCAAACATCCCTTACATATAATGCTTATAAAGTACAAAAGGTGACTGAAAAAAAAACAGACGAGGTGCTAGCAAGAATTATGACTACTGATAGGAGTACTGCTATTTTCCATAACTGCTGACAGATGACACTGCTTATATGTATTTTCTTATCAATAAACTCTACATGGTTAGTATTAACAAAATCTTTTGCCTTGTATAGAAAACTTTCTTACTTTTTTCATTTCATGAACATTTCAGGATATTTTCTCTAAGCTTTACTTCTTCAAGTATACACTTGTTAACTATTTTGACAATTGCATGCAATTGTTCATTATCAAACTTTGGGACTTCATAAAGTATAAAGAAGTGCTTCAAATATATATGACTCTTCTTTATTGTGTAAACAACACCCATTTCATGTTTAAACATAATAGATGTCTTTGGTACATTATGAATACCTTAAAAGTATATAATTACTTTTGGCGAATTCTTTTCAGCCATGTTATATAGTTTGGTCTCTTTAACATCATACTCTATAAAGCTTTTCAAGTAATCACTTATTATATTTCCAAATCCACCTTCAAGGATGTAACGCTTGTGTCCTGGTATGTGCCTTATGAACCTTCTAGTTTGAAGTTATGCATTTTGGTCCCTGAAGTAATACGTAGGGCGTACCACTTGGTACACTTAACGTACTGGTTGAAAAGCCAGTACGCAGGGCATACCACTTGGTACGCTTAGCGTACTGAGTTAATGGATGGACGGGACCCAAGTCACGTACGTTGGGCGTACGTGAACTTTAAAGAAACCCTAATTGAGGGTATTGTACCCTATATAAGCCACCTTATTCTCTAGAGTTGGCCTCATTTCCAACATCCAAAGCCTCCAAAAACCTAATTCGAGTTCTAGCCTCCATTGTTAAACATTTGAGCCTTTGAAGTGAGTTTGGTGTTTATTTTATGCATTGTGAAGGAGTTAGAAGATCTTGAAGTTGCTAAGCTTGGAGAGGAAGTCTTGGATCCAGAACCACTACCTATTTTGCAAGAAGTTTAAGGTATCAAGTTCTTATCTTGATTACTAGTTGCTTAGATCCCTTTTTGGGTTAAATTGTTATGTTTTTAGCCATGGTTTGGGTGAATGATGGAATTAAGACGTCCCAAAGACTTATTCTTTCAGATTTAAGATTATCATGGGCTCATTTGGCATAAAGGTGCCAACTTTATGGAGTTTAGGGTCCCATGCATTCATTAAGTCTCTTATTAAGTCCTTTTTGAGCTTTAGAGCTTCATATAGTCATGCATGAACGTAAAGTTATCAACTTTACGTGATATCTGAGCTCAAGGAGGTCAAATATGCATTCTGGAGCGGAGTCTTATTGGGTTAAGAGCTAAATCTAGAAGTTGGCTGATCTGGATGAGTACGATGGGCGTACAAGCATGTACGCGCAGCGTATAAGCCTTCGAGCCAGCACGCTTAGCGTACAAGCTGAGTACGCCCCGCGTACTCAGTCAGGTGACATTTTGAAGTTGGGCTTTAGGTTTGGGCCACGTTTTAGGCTTAGAAGGTTAGGGATTAGTTGGGTCATCAGATTTTTGGGAGTTTTGAGCCAGAAATATTATTGGGCCTTGGGCTAAGGCCCATAAGAAGGAATTGGGCCCAATTGGAAATTGAGCCTTGATGGACTATTTGACTTTTGGGCCTATTAGATTGTGATTTGGGCTTCAGTCTCGGACCAAGCTAGGTTAGGGGTAAAATAGTCTTTTTATCCCAAGTAGGGATTTTGTTTATGATTTAGATCCCAAATGTTAATTGGTTTTTATTTGGCAATTGATAGCTTAGGGAGTTGTAGGACCAGCAGCTTGGGATAATTTGTTTCATTCAGCTTGTTGAGGTGAGTTTCCTCACTGGGTTTAGCAGGTCAAAGGCACCAATGCCGGCCAATGTTTATGATATGTTAGTATGCTAGCTATCTGCGTGACTCTTGCATGTGTTATGTGCTTATATGCTTACCGGGCTAGGGCCCGATGACCATTTTGTATGCTATGTATCTTCGTGATTATTGCATGTGTATGTGCTTACTTGATATATGTTATATGTATGCTGGGCGGGCTCGATCTATTTTCCGAGCGGGACCCGATGCCGGACGGGGCCCGATGACAGGACGGGACCCATTATATGTTTATTTGTATGTATGGTATGTTGTAACACCCGGTTCCTGGTACGTATTTAAATTCAAGTAATTTCATGTTTTGCTCTGGGACTCGGCGAGTTAGAGGCCCAACTCGTCGAGTAGACTCGATTTTGACCAGGAGGTTTAGTGACCTACTCGACGAGTCGGGAGACCGACTCGACGAGTAGGGCTGTCTGGATGAAACCCTAATATTTAGGGTTTGCACCCTATTTAAACAGCTTATCTTGCCTTAACCCAGCCTCCATCGTCCCTCCCAACTCAGAGAAACCCTATATCGAAACCCTAACCTTGTTTGAGTGTTCTTAAGCCATTTCTGTGTGTTTGTTGTGATTGTGAAGCTTGAGAAAGAAGAAAGAGCTTGGAAGTTCGAGTAGAAGGTAGTAGATCCAAAGGTTGTGCCCCATTTCCATCTCACTTGAGGTATAAAGCTGAAACCTTGACCATCTATCTCTTAGATCTCTAGTTAGGGTTCATTTCTACCTTTTCTAAGCCTTAGAGGTTTCATAGTCGGAATTTTGTGGTTCATTGAGGGTATAGGTTCAGATCTGGAACCATAGGGGGTTCTTATGGCATAAATGTGCCAACTTTATTTCCATAAGCACCCCATGCATCTTGTAGACTTCATTCTAGAGCCATTTGGGCCAAATACCTCATGCATGGACGTCAATACCTCATGCATGAACTTTACGTATAATATGGACCCTAGGAGGTCAGATCTATGGGTTGGATGCATTAAGACCGATTAAAATAGATTGTATAGTTTTGGACAAAGAGGGACTCGGCGAGTCGCTTAGGTGACTCGGCGAGTCGGGTCACAGTTTCCCCCAAACGTCTTCTAGAAATGGTCTTTGGTTGAGTTGAAGGAAAACTCAGCCTGTTGGGGTTTGTTATGGACTTGAAGAACGAAGGACTCGACGAGTTCAAGGAGGAACATGGCAAGTTCAAGGCAATGTCCCAACCACATGAAGACAGCCTCGAC